GAAGAACTCACACAGCGCTTGGGCTACTGCCTTCAGGAGCCATCCCACCTCCCGTGCAAACAACAAGGTTGTGGAGTTTCACACAGGGAAGGAGGCTGATAGGAGAAGGAACTAGCATTGCCACTGAATGCCCCTACTCTTTAGAAAGGGTTTAGGGATTCAGAAAGCCACTTCTAGCAAGGACGCAACAGAGGCACTTGAATTCTGTTGCTTGGTACAAAACACTGAAGCTTTACTTTCTGTTTTTGACCTTGGCCAAATACTTTGTCTCCTGAAGTGCAAAACAAATACAGTATTATTTACTCAAATTGCCCAGAGTTTTTAAGATCATTGGTAACATTTATTATATCCCAGTCTCAAATTTGACTGCCTCTTAGAGAACGTAAAAGTAGCATTCATATTATTATTTCTATTAAATTAATTAAAATGTTTGATCTTTATTTCACAGGGAAAAAAATGAAACATTTTTCAGTGCTCACTTAGGATAAAATTCTGGCATAATTTTCATTAGTATAGTACTGTAATTTATTGGTGTTACTGTTGTTTTAATTCCTATATGACAAATTGAAATAATGCTTAAATTGCAGCCCCAAAATAGTACATTTGACCATTATGCAAAACTTTTCTCTGTGTCTTGTTTTTTTATATGTGAATATTTTATAAGCTGTAAAGGTTAAATATTTCTTTCTCTTCCACAGAAATGCCATGCCTGTATCCAATTGCAGATTTGAAATCTGAATGTTTGCACCGCAAAACTATGCAAAGATGCATGAGATAGTGGAAACCTGAGTTAGTAAGTCTAGAAACTAAGATCCAGAGGTGATATAGATGTAGATTCTTTCACAGGTACCAATGTACCAAAGGTACCAAAAGGCAGGGTTTATTTTATGAGCTTATGTGATTGTATGTAACCTCATAAAATTGATCTACTTCGCAATAAAATGACAGATTTTGGAGGAATGATAAGTATAGCTCTTTATCTTATCCCTCATCTTAATCTCAGTGATGAATGCTGTATGTGTTAGAAAGCTAAACAAGTCCTGGTGTGCCAGGCCCCTGTAGGCTGTGGAGGGCTCTCTAGTGACAGAGGTTGCCTGTTTGAAGTATGGAAGATCAATGAAACTGGTATGAAGAGGAATACCAGAGCTAAATTTAATAAACAGTGTAACCATAACTATACGATTGTGCACTACATTATATGAACTTGTTAACATGGTTTCTGTGCTGATTTTGACTGGGGTAGAGTTATTTTTCTTCATATTATCTAGTATGAGGCTATGTTTTGTTTTTGTGCTGGAAACAGTGTTGATAACACAGAGATGTTTTAGTTCTTGCCAATCAGTGCTTGCACAGAGCCAAGGTCTTTTCTGCCCTTCACCTTGCCCCTCCAGCGAGGAGTCCGGGGGTGCACAAGAGGTTGGGTGGGGACAATGCCAGGACAGCTGACCCCAACTGACCAAGGGGATATCCATACCTTATGATGTCATTCTCAGTGATAAAAGCTGGGGGAAGAAGAAGGAAGGAGGGGATGTTTGGAGTGATGGCGTTTGTCTTCCCAAGTCACTGTTACATGTGATGGAGCGCGGCTGTCCTGGGGGTGGCTGAGCCCCTGCCTGCGGATGGGAAGCAGTGAATGAAATCCTTGTTTTGCTTTAATTGCATGTGTGTGTGGCTTTTGCTTTACCTATTAAACTGTTTTTATCTCTACTCGTGTTTTCTCATTCTTATCCTTCTGATTCTTTCTTCCATAACAACTGGGGGAGTGTGGGGGGGTGCAGAGTGAGAGAGCCACTGTGTGGTGCTTAGTAGGTGGCTGGGGTAGTTAAACAACAACAGTTTCTTCCAGCATTGATATCTCCATTTTATCATCTCCATGGAATCATAGTTTCTTAGTGAAGTAAATTCTTAAATCCAAAAATTGCTTCAGATCTTTGCTACTATCAGGCTGGATTGTATTTGTTATAAAGTACTAATTTTGATTCACAGCTCATTAGTTTAAACGATGTTATAGAAAACAAAATCAAATGACAAAAGCCATTGTAAATTCTGTCTTATAAATATGCTTCAGGCCTGACACAGAGAGAATAATTTCTGCACAGTCCCCCACATGGATCTATATTAATTGAAAAAATATCTACTATGCTGGAGTCTACCGAGACAATCAGTTAATCGGTTCTATTAATAATGACCTATTGGCTGACTTGAGAAACATTAATCAGTCAGTCTGTCATCCTATAAATCGACTTCAAGAGTCTTCTTAGGACCATCTCTTTCAAGAAAGCAAGCATAGTCTTCTAGCTCAGTAACATGATACCATTGCTTGTAACAAGCTACAAGCTTTGTGTTGAGAAAAAAAACACATGATCTAAGAATTACCAGGCTTTGTCTGCATTCATCTCTGAAGATATTTTTTAGGTTGTTTAACCATAAAGTCAATTATCCAATGATCAGATTAATAATTATCTGATTTTATCTTTGTTTAGCTTTGTAAAATTGTGTAACTATATACACACATGCATATGTGTTTGTGTGCATAGGTATATACATTTTGGTAGCTTGATACTCATATTCAGCAGCTTTTTGGTGTATAACAAATTATCTATGACCCTGGAGTGAAATGCTGCATAAAAGAAGGGAGGCCTAGGGTAAGAGCTGTGTCCTTAAAATTATGGACATAGGATGGTACCAGAGATGAGATACCGCTCCTCATCAGAAAACCCAATAACCTGGGTAAACATATGAAGCACACCATATATAGTGCATTTGGATGTGATGTGGTCCTCCAGACCAAAGAAGAAAGAGCAATGTACTACAAAGGTAAAAATATTTGCCTTGGGCAGTGAGGAAGAAGATGCTATCCATATCAACATGTAGCTCATTTCAGTACAGGGCTAAGGATGCTGAAGTTTCAGTGTATAATTTCCTTCAACCCACACTGAAGCTATTGACCTCAGTACCCATCAGGGCACTAGAGGGGTTGAACACTTCACCAAAGAAAATGGAAAAATGCTAGGCAATTTGACCATATTAATTTTAATTGTATATATTTTGATCTACAACTTATTAAGATGGTAATTGGGCTAATAATTATTATTATTTCATTAGACTCTTGAGACTTTAACTAGAGCAACAGATTCTTGATTTTGAAGACAATAGGTGTTGCCCTTTGTTCATTACAAAATTTGGAAGTAATTAATTCAGAGGAATTCAAGCAACCCACTTTACAACTTGGATGCACCAAACTGGTAGCACAAGTATTCCTGTACCACAGTGTTTCAGAATTTGAGATTCTTTGTGCATCAGATTAGTTAATGTTGGCCCTATAGCATGAAGTTTTTGAGATTTTCAAGGAAAAAAAAAAAATTACATGACTTTGTTCAGTATTCAGAACAAAACAAAAAATGATTTAATATACACACAGACGTACACAATATAGATAGTAAATCAAAAAGAGAATGTTACCTTCTCATTTCAGCTAAGATATTCAAGAGAAAAATCTAAGAAGATATTAATAGCTTCAGTTTTGCAACCTCTTTCTAGGTCAAAGCATATACTCTGCAAGTGTAATTATTGGAAAAAAAAAGTAAGCTTCATAAATTTAGTAAACTTTATTCTGATTATTATAAGCAATAAAGTAAGTTCTCCAAAGAATGGGATGCAAGCAATGTATCATGTCGATCGATTTAAGTAAAAATTGTTATTTTCGCCTGGTTCATAAAACTTTGTTGTGGTTCAAACATTAACATTCAAATATTTCTTCTTTAACACAGTAAATAAATTCAGCTTGTAGTCTAATAATAATATTTCCACTGAAAGTTTTACCCCTAAATGTCCAAAGAATCTCTGATACAAGTATCATAGATTAATTTTTATCAATTAATTTATCTGACTAACCAGCTACAGTGGATGTGTAAAATACTATATACCAGTAGGACTATATCAAAAAGGCTATCTCCAACAAAAGCAGAACAAAGTATTCACAATATTCTAAGATTCATCAAACATAATAGTAGCACTTTCTTATGTTCTGGTTTTAATGTCACATAACACAAAATTTACATATTAAAGCTTAGTAATTTTTTCAACCTAAAATTTTACAGTCATTCTTAAATTAAAAAATATAGAAAGGGAATGTTGAGCTGTTCAAAACTTAATCTGTGTGTAATAAAATTAACATTCCTTATTACAAGGAATAATATTAATTCTCTAGAGGTCAATTATAAGACATTTCATTTTTAGTTTTATTTGACTTTCTGACCTTTTCACTTCTAAGGCCAATTCATTGCCACAAACCAACACACTCCTTCATATTACATCTTTACCACTTGGTTTTATTTCATAAATCCTTCAATCCTGCATTTTGGCTGTATTTGACTGCATTTCTACTATACTGGTCACTTATACAGACTTACAAGCTATGTTATTCATAACAATGTAATTTCCATCCCTCTTTGTCTAAACTGTAATAAAATTAACACAGATAACCACTTACAACCATCATTAAAGATATTTGTGCATGATTATGGGTTCCTCTGAGAATGTTTATGTCCATGACTTTCAAGGTTACTTAAGTTATGTTCAGCTGAAACCTGCAATAGATCCAGTATCAGTATGGAAGCCATTGCAGAAGTGTTGGAATCACAGCACTGGATGAGGCCAATGTCTAGCTAGAATAGGAGCCAGTCTTCAACAGTTGGTAATGTTAACCTGGTCCAAGAAGTTATAAAAAAGCTACAGTAAATGATTGTGGAATAACATGATTCCCACTTCTTTTTCTGAACTATCCATATCAAGAGCCTGATCAAATCTTTAGATGGTTTCAGGTTTTTCCAACCTTATCTTGAAGACAAAGAAAGAAAAAAAAAATATTTCCTATGGAGTAGCATAGATCTGAAGGAGAGCTCAGGTTTATCAAAAGGTGTTAATACTGCATATTGGCCTGAACAACTGATGTCTTTACACAAAATGATTAAGTTTAAAGTATGTGTCATGATACTCACTGTGGGGTGGCTGAGGAACTCTGCTTGGGCACAAGGACTGGTTAAGATGCTCTTCTTGAAGAAACAGAGAGAAATTCAGGATCTGAATAAAAAACTCCAGCAAAGTTCTAATATGCAAAAAGTGAAAACTCAGAATTTACTATCTGATCCATAACATTCAAGATTTGGGTTGAGAATTGTTTTACTTCTAATTTTTGGAGCAGGTACACTAGCAGTCCAGGTTGGAGAGATTTCCAAGACCAATATAAAGAAAGTATCATAAAGGTGCCTTGTATTATACTAAAAATTTCTTTATAATGAAAGGTGAAAATGTAGTTTTCCAAAGTACAGCTAAAGAAAAATTTTAAATATTTAAAAAAAAATGTAAAAAGGAATACTCTGTTGTGTGTGGAAGAGCAGGTACTAGGAAAGAGCAACACCATTAGATATGCAGTATAAATATCTCCAAATTCTAGTACATCCAAATTCCTGCTCAGATTAACATGGTAATCTGTTGTAATTTTTTGTTTCTTTTTTGACAGGCTTGAAGGAATGTTGTCAATGGGAGCAGATAATAAGGACAGCAATTCACTCCATCAGAGTTATCCAGGGTGAGAGAAACAGTAATCTACGCAATATAAAAGAAAAATCTACGCAATAAAAGAAAAAAAAAATCACCTACCTAGTAAATATATTGATAAGAAATATAACTTGTTATTAAATTGGAAGGCTGAAAATGGGTAATTATTTTTAAATACGGCACCAAATTAAGAAACAGTTGGTATTTGCAAAGAACAGATGTTAAAGATCATTATTGTAACCACTGGCAATATCGTATCTTATGATAATCAATATATTAGCACAAAATATTGTGGGAGCAAAAGGAAAATTATGTTGAAAATACTCACAGTTTTAAGGGCAAAAAACTGCCTTGATTAATATTAATTGAGATCTTAAAAATATAGCACATGACTTAAATAATCTAAAAAAGTTATGCTTTGCTCATAGAAAGAGAAAGGAGAATAGAGTTCACCAAAGTCTCTGGATAAAAAAAGAAGCATAAATAACTGTGAGAGTGACACCCAATTATATAGTGCTAAGTGGGAAAGAGCTTCTCACATCTGCAATGAAGCAGATGACAAACATCATTATTGAGAACATCAATATCAGCATCTAAGTTACACGCACATTTGAACAGTGCAAAGGTACTACTCCCAATGGGAAATGTCATTGCCTGCTGCTTGCCAACCAATGAAAAGAAAGACAGCCTGTTGTAAATATACTGTTTTGGAATCAATGGGCCATTCAACAAAGACATTAAAGGAAAGATATGAGAATTTAAACCAGTAAGCATCTAGGTCGTAGCATAGGTAGTTAATATATGAAACTGGAAGAAATTACTTGCCAGAAAACAAATACACAAACAAAACCTCCAGAAGAGCTTCCAGAAAACAAAACAAAACAAAACAAAACAAAAAATATTCTACATAGAATGTGTCCTAGTTTCAGTAACTTGTGGGTAGATTCAAGGGCTGATAGTGGGTGGGGGGTGTGGGGGGTGTGTGTGTGGGGTGTGTGTTGTTGTTTTGTTCATTTTTTAACCTTTTTTCCTATACTTAAGAATTGTCAGAAGCTGAAAGACTGGATGAACTTTGAGAAAGAAGTTCTGATAATGGTCTGCCTTGATCCTCCCTCCTTCTGCTGTTTTTTTTTTTTTTTTTCCCCCCTACCACTGGTTTACAAAGAAGACATTATCATAAGAAGGTATGCACCTTCTTTTTGTTAATGAGAGCAGCAATATTTTAAGCACACAGATTAGGAAAACAGACAAATAAAAGGCCTGGAATTACAACTTTGAAAACTATAGGTTACTGTTTGGAAAAAACCCAAAACATATCCATGTAAATTAGAATAAAGGCATTGGAGTTTTCCCAGTTTACATGGGAGAGCATCACTTACTTGCAACTTTGTGCAAGGTTTTGCACCATTTTTTCTAGGCTTTTAAAATATCTTCTGCAGCTTGAACTTGACATGGTAGTCCCAAATTTGTGTTTTAATATTGCTGTTTATTATACTTATACTTTTTTTGTTCCTTTCCTACCTTCTAATAAAGAAACTGAATCTGCGAGGATAAAAAAGACAGGAGGTAAAAGACTTACATGCTGCGATTCATACAAAAGTGCTGTAAGTGGCTCATCTAGATATAGTTTTGACATATGGGCTAAATTAAGACTTTAAATAGTGCAATACATCTTTTAATGCAAAAGAAATAATATAAATGGGACTCAATTAATGAGCGGAAAATGTAAAAGACATTCTGGAAAACCTATAAATTGCTTACTAAAATAAACCAGCAAAATTGGTAGATAATGACTCTTGCAGCTCACTGTCATGTCCTCTTAACCACAACATCCATCAGAAAAAAAACACACTTACACCCAGTTATTTTACTCATTGAAGCTGCACCGGTGAACACTCTGATGAGGATAATTGAAAGTCTCTTAAATTGCCAACACAGAACTAAAGGAACTAAAGCAGGACTGTTGGATAAAAAGAAAAAGTTAATCCTTCCTGCCCCATATGTTCCTGCGTGGCTCCCTGCTTCCAAATCAACAGAGAGGCATCCATCAGCAAGCTCTTGACTCCTCAAGGTGAGGGGATGTCTTCTGGTCCCTCCTCCTGCTGCTCCAGGGGGGGGTCTGCCTGCCTCCCGGGTTGCTCCTCCTGCAAGATGAGATTGGCGTGCAGGTGGACGTCGGAGCAGAGCACTGCCACGGCCCCGCGGGACGGGACGGGACGGGACGGGACGGGACGGGACGGGACGGGACGGGACGGGACGGGACGGGACGGGACGGGACGGGACGGGACGGGGGAAAGCGCAGAGGGAGGCGGGGAAGGGGCAGGTCTCTCCCGCAATCCACTGGCACTGGTGTGACAGTTTTAATTCCCCAGGTCCAGGGGGGAGTGGCACAAGGCAGCAGGACGCATTGCTGTGTGTTTAGCCACAAAATGATTAAGACAATAGAAGGTTTTATTTCCTTTCCTGTAACTGTTGATGCTACCACTATCACCATCACCTGAGATAAATAATTAACTTCAGGCTTTAGCAATTTTATTTTGTGCTTACAGAGGAAAAACTGATGAGGTGTTGTGATTAGTTGTATTACTGCTGTGAATAGTGACTTTAGAACCAACATCCCAAAACAATTAATAGTTCTGTTTAACATGGTACAAAAGCTACGTGTGCTAGTAGTTACCATATCATCTCTTATTAGTGAATAGACATGTATGTGCAATCCAAAATATTATTCCTATTCTTTGATGTAGTTGTATGAAGTTTTTTTCTTGCTAAGGTATTTTTAATTACTTCTAAGGCAATCTAGCCAAGCATGCATCTAATACCTTACCACTCTTACCAGTTCCTTAGACCTCAATGAATATTTTTCTATTATTATTTATCTGGTTTCTGACATAAGTACGGTTCTAGGATGGGGGTTTTATCTCTTATTTTCCTTCCTGATGCTTATCATACACACAGTAATTTCTGATTATTATTTCACATGTCATTTACTATAACACTTTCCAAGGTTGCTAGAATGCTCTTTTTTATTGTCTACCGAGTAGCTTCTCTGTGTCTTCATATATTTCTGACTTCTTTTTCCCATTCTTTTTCTAGTTCTGTTTTATACACTGTAGGAAATGGTGATACACTGATATTTCAAAGAAGGACAGGAGAAGACAGGACTTACATCAATAGAAGTAAAATATGCCCAATATGCCCTATCTTCAGACTGCAAATTATGATCCGAAGGGTCCTTAGTCTGAAACTCAGCAAATGATAGAGGAAGCCTCTTTGGAGAGGAAATGTAGGCTCTGGCCTTTAGTAATCTTCCAATGACAATAAACATCGATATCTTTCTTCAAAGCATTTCAGATTTTGCAAACCCATAATTTCTCTTAAGTAGAAATGTCCACATCATTTGTAATAATTTTGTAAGCTTTGTCAGTCAGCTACAGTGGTCATTGCTGTTGCGTTAAAGTGCTTGTGTCTTTGGCAGGGAATGCAAGCGCTGTTGTGGGGATGGAAGGTGTGCAGTACATCCACAGTGATACTGAAACAGATTGACAAATTTAGAGAGAAATATGGCAAATTATAAATCTGTGCTGACATTCCTGGATATATCATCATCTGGAGACAGTACTATCAGAAACTAAACTGCTCATGATATGCCCCAGAAACAGACATAGGAAGGTCTTTATGTGTACATACTGTTCCTATGTGCTATAGGTATCTATGTTTTCTTTTTTTTTTTTTTCCACCTATAACTTTTTCTCTAAAGGAAAGGCTGAGAAACCTGGACACTTAGCTATATTTGCTTTCTTATAACTGCACACATTCGGAGGCCTGAACCTTTCTATCTGTAGTTTATCATATCCTGTTTATTTCTGTTACTTTGCTTTGGTTACAGTTTAACAATTTTACATACAAAGAAAAGATGCATTTCTCTGTACTGGGAGCTTCACACAACTAAATAATATCAGTATTAAGTTTGGTCATTCACACAATCCTAGGGATAAGCAGTACAATGATTTGGATAGAATTTGGCAGTGTGGCAAAAGGTGATTGAGAGCAAATATTGGATTGAGACTCTAGAATGTATAGAATAAGCAAGCTGTTTTAAAGGAAATTAAAATATCACAATGAGGATAACATTTCAAGCAAATGGATAGAGATAGATAAAGAACATTACATCTGAATGTTGTTGAACCACTTGGGCAATAAGGTCATCTTATGGGTAGGAGAATTGTTCCACAGAACTGAGAAAAAGCTCATCATGCAGAATATTTTGAAAGACCTACCCAGTTATTGTGGTGTCTAAAAAAGAACAGCTTAATCATGGTAGGGCAGTATATTAAAGTATATTGCTTTTTTTATGATATACTGAAATCTACTAAGAAAATAGGAGTAAGAAAGAGAAAAAAAATGAAGGAAACGGTAAAGCATTAACCATGATCATCATAAGTAGGACAAAAAAGTAATGAATGTCATTCTAAGCAAGAAAGCATGCAGATAATCATCAGGGGAAAAAAATCTAACAGTGAAAAATAGGTGTTATGTCCTGGTTATAAAATAATAGGCATTGAGATAGGGGTGATTTATGTAGGAGTTTACAATGTGATGTAGCAAGGAAAAGGTTGAGGGTGATGGAGGTCTAGATGCAGGAGGAGAGTTGTGTAATAACATCTGGCTTTTAGACCAGACTGTGCAAATATCTGTCAGCAGTGTTTTAAGTTCAGCTGACTCTGCCTTTGGATAAAGGAATAATCTCATGATGCCTTAAAGTCCATTCTGGTTTTATTTCCTGATTCCATGGTTCTGGGTTATGAAGTCATCTTAACATCATGCCTTTTAATATCAGAAGTTTGCCAGAACAATTTGTTTCATAAGTCAGTTTTCAACAATGTAATAATTGTCCTTAGCCAATCCTTCTATTATCCATCAATTAGAGATTGATTTATACTGCATGGATGAAGACATTTTCAGTCTTCAGTAGTTTTTAAACCCATTGAATGAAATGTGGAAAGAAGCACCCTTTTTTTAAAAAAAAATCTCTATACTTCTCTGAAATCTTTTAAACCTTCTTATGTCACTGACCTCAGAATGTGTTTTTTCTCATTCCTGTTCTTGTTCCTTTTTAAATTCTCATCAACATCAGATAGCCTATCATCAAATCTAGTAAGGACAGTGATGCTGATTTGCACTAGTGTCTACAGCAGTTGAATCTCATTTGAAACTCTGGCCCTGTTGTAAGTTGATTATAAGATGTGTAAAACCATAATGTTTTCTGTCCTTTCTAGATCATGAAGACAGTCTATCAAGGGCTGACCTCAACTTTTATGTTTCCATTCAATCTTTGTTTTTGAAAATCAGTGAAATAGAACAATCGTTTTTCTCCCTTCAGAGAAGGTATTTCACTTCTGAATTAGTATTAATTTAAAAACACTCCTGAGGCTGCTTCAGACCCTGGTCAGATAGATAGAAATTACATCTTTAGGAATGTGTCAATGAATGTGCCATTCACTCCTCTATAGAATTAAATAAATATGTCAAGTCAATCAATCAAAAGAACAAGATGGGTAGTTTGTTTTACATATTCACGTAAATACATGTATTTTTACATTAAATATTAGAGAGTGGCGTGCTGATGCCAGAGTATAAAACTTATTTTTAATATGCAGATTTATCCATTTTAAATAAAAGACCTTGAACAACTTCCAAATGCTTTTTTTACTCAAAGATGCATAGCTTAGTGGCACTTATGCAATATCCTAAAGTGCTTTACATCAACAAAAGTTGCTATCATAGGTATTTGAGTGAATTTTTGTTTCACATTGGATTATTATTTATGTCATCCTTGCAGATATATGACTCCTTTAGAACATATTTTCATTAAGATTTAATAGGTTATTCCTAATGAGTTGGCTTCTTTCTTTCTTTGCAGTTTTTTTCCCATAGTAGCACTTGTTACTAGACAAAATCGTATTTTTAAAATAAGGTACCTCAGTGACATTTTGTAGTGAAGAGTGTGTTTCTGAACTGTTAGCAGAGCAATACTTAGGAGATAATATCTCATAAAGGTTGAAGTACTCCCTATTTTTCATGCGGCAGTATAATAAGAAACAACGTGACAGGCTGTGAAGAAGAACCTTGAAGTGGTAGCTACCTGTATAAAACTGAAAAATTGAGGGAAAAAAGTTGAGTGACCTTGCTCTGTCATATGGGTGTCATACTCACAGATCAATGATCAGTTCTAGCAGGACACAGGCACTTGCCTTAGTGACCTCAACTTGCTGTTGATGGGTGTCAGTTAGTGCTGTAGAGAATAAAAAGAAGAGGTGGACTGATGATAATTAGAAAAGAATGAAGGGGAGATAAAAGGAAGACAATTGAATAGAAATCTGTCTGCAGACACCATGAATCCTTGGAGAAGGACTATTGGCCCAGCAGGTGCCATATTTGCAGAGTTGTTTTTTTTTGTTTGTTTGGTTTTTTTTTGTTTGTTTTTTTTTTTTTTTATTTTTATTTTTTATTTTATTTTATTTTTAGTGTGTGTGTATGTGCAATTTCATGAAGCTTTGTTCTCATACTAAAAACTGTATTTCACATTTATGTACAGCCTACCACACTTTCTGAATTGTAAAAATAAGAGTGATTCTGATGAAAGACTAATTGAGTTCAGCACTTACATGTCTCTAACACAGAAGTCAAAGAAATAGCTCAGCAATGCACAGTAATACTCTGCAAAAAAAAAAAAAAAAAAGGAAACATGCTTTGCTAATTAACTAAAGATCATATCAGATACAAGATGAAATAGCCAAACTGTTTTATTCTGGGTTTCAGTAGACTGTGTTTTTTGTTTGAACTCCAGTATTTTCAGGGAGATGAGTGAATAACAAGCTTTGTATCACATTTCTTCATTGTCTAATCTATATGTTGTTGTTTTGATCCAAACTAGAAGCCCTGTAATTAACATAATTTTTACCTGCATTACATTTTAAAATCAGAACAGCAACTAAGGAACAACTCAAGATCTGAATATCTAATTGCTGCTTCTGTGTAAATTGAAAGCAACTCCAAAATGAGTGGTATAGATTAATGAAGTATACAGAGAAAATAAAATGTGTTAAAAAGATTAAATGTTATAGACATAAAGATTAAAGATATGAAGATAGACATAAAGAAATAAATATAGATATAAAGACATAAAATAAACTCCACATATCTTCCATAGTGGAGAATTTTCACCTCCCATGTTTACCTGTGGGAAATCTCATAGGGTAGATCAGAACTCAGTGGTCACTGCTAAACCATATTTTAATGTCCAAGACAGGTTCTAATGTTAAAATTTTTTAATCCTTTATATCTTCAAACCACTTTAATTTTAGTCGCTAATGTCTGTCTTGCTTTTCACTCTCCTGAAGATGATGCACAAGAATATTTTATTTCAGCATTAAAAAAAACTTCCTACTTGAACACTTTATATTGAACAAAATACCCATCCATGTAATACAGATTGCTGAATATAATAATAAAAAACTGTACATGCTTGTTGGACTTCTCTAATTGAGCAAATAAGAATTAGTGTGAGCAAGGGCTATAATCTGGTTCTAAAATGTACTTATGGGTGATTTACATGTTATATCTTTGACTGTCACTTTCTCTTCTCTCTAGTGGTTATTCCTTCTTTTTCTGCACTCACTGTATACAGGCAACCTCATGTAGCACTGGGAGATTATGCCCTCTTGCCAGGCAGCATGTCTCTGCCCCGGAGGATGCTGAATAGTACATCTGAGCCAGTTAAGAGGACAGATCAAAATCTATACTCTCACTAGGTTGCCAAGGTACTTACACCCTCACCAAGCAGGCAAAGGTTTTGTATCTTTTCTCTTATTTTTCTTTTAAAGACCATTTCTCTGCTGGTGAGATATATAACTATATCCTGCTCAGCATTTAGTTTTATGTCAGAGCCATGTTTAGGCTTATATAAATAAGAATTATGGAAATAAAGTAAGTGTGAAGACCTTGGAAATGTATAGACACACATAAATACACACTCATGTATATACACATATGCACACTTATTTGCAGCCAAAATCAGTATTGCCAAGCTTTGTTACTTCACCCTGCAAATAGAAAAACAGAATTTCACACAGATTATCTTGAACACGGCAAATATGAGTCAACCAGAAATATGGTTTAAAGACTAAGATGCATGAATCATGTAGAAGTTCACTGCCTTTATCATGAAAGTGGAGTATTATCAACGCAAGCAGGCATCTGTCAGTTTTCACTTTGATTTACTCTGCTGGGCTTTTTTACAGATGTAAAACCATTTTACCAAGTCAAATAGAGTGACAAATATAATAAACTAAATGCTCATTGTATGGGAAAATAAATGGTGTCAGGATCATGCTGAAGAAATAAAAGCCCCATAAGATATAGCTTTCATCTCTCCTAAAAGATAGACTCTAATAACTGAAAGAAAAGTAAAAACTTTCTGGAAAAAAAAAGAAGCAGTGACAAAGGTGCAGGGACATGGGAGAGGGCCAGCCCTGCTGGGGTGAAGGTTCAAATCCCTCTCCCAAAAAGCAGCTCAGCAAATGGTGACAGATGTCACCCTGACAGGGAAAGTGGCAAGCGGCCATCTCAGCTCTGCTTGTAACTTCTTTCACAAGAGTCAAGCTGCTTTTTCCACTGCATTCAGCATGCTTGTGAGTGCTGGGTTTGTTCAGAAGACAAAAAAGGGCAAGAGCTCTAGAATTCAATAGAAGGTCAGAATGGCAACCTTTTTTGCCGGGTTGGGCTTCCTTTTATACCATGACATCTGGCACCTTTACCAGAACAAATTAGAGCAATTCAATCCACCAGCAGGGAAAGTGGGTTTTCTGTTTTTCATATGGCAGAGCTACAAATTTGAGAGAAGGAAATGGGGCTCACAATGACTCAGCATAGCAATAGATTTGCTACACTTGTTTTACAGATTCATAAAACAACAAATATAATCAGTGATGAAGTTAAATATGTCCATCCTTCAGCACAACCACCACAAAAGAAAGAGAAGAAATAATTACATTGATGAGTTTGCACTTCATTTTCAGCCTGTTACAGCACGAAGCATTAACAGTTCCAAGGAGGCATGCTGCAGAATACATAGCATGCCTCCCTTTCTCCTGTCTGGCATTTTAATATCTGTGGTTAATGTAATTGCCTTTTATTCTGTATTCCAGTAAATACTAATGCACATTTTACTTAGAGATGAGAGTGTAGCCTCTTCAGACTATTTGGAATATTAAGTCAGTTACTGATATTAAACATTTTTGCCTATTTAGCCATTTTTAAGCTTTAGTGTTAATATTCTTCTCCCACACATAAATACAACCCAATTCTTCCTACTTCCTGCAAACAGGAGAGCTGCACAGTTAATACATCTTCTAGGTACATTAGCTGCAGGCAAAACTGGGTTTTACACACGTAATCTATACTCGTTAGTGGGACTCTGTTCAACGGTAAAACAATTTATTGTGTCAAATTGGACTGAACCTAACTTTCAGGGGACTTTACAGCTTTTAGTGTTAAAATCTTTCCCCTGTAAGAATTCCATTTTCATTTTGATTGTATAAGCTTTCTTTACAAAATATATCTTGCTGTGATCTTTCATTCAAGCAGAAAAAATGGGTCTTGATGAGATTGAGCAGAATTGTATGCACAATACAAAGTCCCTTCTCCATTAATAAGAAATACCATCTTCTTAATATCAGAGATATTATGCTGCCCTCTGTTAACTCAGCATTTGTAAAAATATCCCTTTCAGGCACAAATCTCACTTTCAGCCTGAGACCCTATTCTGACACATCTCTGACACCTTGCTATTGGGCTGACGGCCAGCAGATGATGCCTTTCACTTGTAGCACTGAGTTACATGAATTTCAAATCTGCCACACTGTTTCTTTCAAACTGTAGATTGTTTGACTGACTACTATACCCTTATAGAGGGCTTCTGAATGGATATATAATATAAAAAATAAGGTCTTGAAAATAGATCTTTAAGAATACCACAGGTACTCTTTAAACAGAGATAAGATATTTGTTTATGCTTTGATATGGAAGAACTTCACTCAGTGCAGACTGAGTAGGATTGAAAGACCTAAAAGTTGAGTTCCAGTGACACTATAAAATTAATCCATCACTAATTATGGAGTAACTGTTCTAACTCTACCAATAATAGCAACTTCATTTTTTTTTTTCTTTTGCTTTGCTTTCTTTTATATCATCACTTGCAATTTTTAATTTTCCAGAATTGTGATCTCTTGAAAATAACATGTGTTACTGACTTTGTTCATAGGGGCATGGTGCAAAGTTTTCACCCTTCTGTGTATTAGCTCTTATCTGCCAGTGTTTCCTCATTATATCATCTGCAAGCAGACATGATGCTGTTTTCTCAACACAAGCCTTGATACTGAAGGACATCAGTCATCAAAGAGATCAACAATATTTTAAAAAGATGTTGGGAGATTGGTAAATGCTTCTCCATCATCTAGAATGTTAGGAAAAAAAAAAAAATAAAATCTTTCTTTACTGGTTATCCAGAAGACTTCAAAAACCCCTTGAAAATGATGCCTTCATTATGGAGAGATTATTGCTTGTATAACCTGCAAGTTGAATCACTATTTTTTTGTCCTGTATTTTTTTGTTTAATTTTTGTGGAGTTGGGCACAATTTCTAGAAAGAAGAATGCAAGCCTGTTCTGGTGGAATTTTACTGTAAACCCACCCACTTTATACCACTATTTTATATAGTAATCCATAAAAATGCCAGAGCTGATATGTGAGACCTAGTTAACAGAGATTTCATCACTTATTTTCTCACAAAAATAATAGTGGTAAAGATAAACCAAGACTTCCACCATTAAGTACAATCTAATATTTAGTTGCTAGAACAAGTCAGGCTGAACAAATGCACAGAACAAAACTGAATTTACCTAGATATAATCTGTTTGCATTCATCCAATGCAAAGGATCACGCTACCAAGAATAATTTACAAACTGAAGTATGTCTATATTTGGCCCTTGCCAACACATAGGATTAGTATGAGGAACCACCTGAATTATCAACAAAAGCCTATGAATATTGTTTATTCACAGTTTGCCAAGCACTGATGGGTTAATGAATTTTAAAAGGGTACTATTATTTCAGTTAGGTAAAACAGTTACCAAGTTGAAGAGTTTACATTTTATTTAGTACAAACTGTACCGTATCTTGTTTATAATAACCAGAAGTCTTAATTTCAGATGATGTGTAGAAGTAAATGCTATGTCTTTTAATGGTCAGCTCAATCTAAGAAAAAACATCTTAACATAGTGGTTATGCTATATTCATTTATTAATATGTATCGTACCTCTTTGGAATTACTCATGTAACCTCAGTTTAGGATCAGTTTCAGCACAAGCATATATAGGGCTTTAAGAAAGTTGCATTTCACAGAGCATATTTCTACCTATAGCCATTTACTTAATGGCACTATTTATTTCAGAGTCAATATTCCTCATCTATATTGTTTCATTGGAATATACAGATTCTTGCAAATAATTAATGTCAATGAGCCCTCAGGAGAGGAGCAAAACTATCTAGGGTCTCCTTTATGGTAAATTGTTTCATGTCTTTTGACAGTAACAACTGCCTTAGAGAAATTATGTTTTAGGATACTTGGTTTTTGTATTTATTCCATATTCAAAATGACA